TACAATAAGCTCAAAGTGGGTGTGTGTAACAATGAGTAAATAAGAATCAATCTAAACTCTCAATATACAAACTACTTTAAAGAAATGATATATCAAATAACTATGCAAATGTAAAGCTAGATAAGAGTTAAAAAAAAACTTCTCTATAAACAGCAAAAGAGAAAGGATGATGGAATATTGAAGATGAACTCCTCAACAACTGATGTAAGCTCCTCTTTGTAAAAACCTCAAACTAAAACAAAACAAACTTAAAACCTTGTTTAAACCCTTGTTTAGAAACTCATTACATGTCTTAGAACTAAGATCAATGGGGGTATTTATAGCCTCCCAAAACCTCAGCCAAAAACCCTAAACAAAAGAAAAAAAAGGCCACAGCCAACGGTAACAAAAATAGCCGTTGGAAAGAATCTGACAGAGCGGCGATCGACTAAAAAAATTCGTGGTCGACCGCGATTCAGATCCCAAACTGAGAAAATGAGCAGATACTTCTTCGGTCGACCGGTACGGTCGACCGTGGGAAGTCTCGAGCTCTCGATCGACCACGGTGGTCGACCGACAAACTCTCTGCTGCCCACTGACAAATGAACTCAGGTGCGGTCGACCGGTGCGGTCGACCGCATACTGATACATGAAAATAAAGTCTGAAAACAGTTTTTCTGATTTTAAAATACTGTTTAAAAATATCAAATAAATTCCAAAAAATATAAAACTTTGGGGAATGATTGTAGACATGATAATAAACATGCTACAACCATTAAAATTTCCAAAATATGAAAAATGTAAACATGTGAATTTTAACATTTAGGCTAAACCATGTTTTGAAACTTTGCACAATGATTTTTTAGACTTAATAAAATATGTATATGATTATTGTTAAGTCCAAAAACTAAGAAAACAATATTTTCACAAAATTGCATATTCTATGCAATATATACTAAAACACAATAATAAATATGAAACATGTGATTTCATATTTATAAACATGAAAACTCAAAAACACATATATGTATATATATAACTTTATATATGCATAGAAACCAAAACTTATGTATATATATATAACTATATATATATATGAAAAAACCAATAAATGTGTACGTATATGATATTGAGCTTAGAGTATCTAACACACATAATATAAAATCTAAACTAGATTGTTCGCGGGAAAAGTTGGTGTTTTCTTCATTATCGATGTCATTGCACTCAGTTAACAACTTTATGTGTACAAAAGACTCCGGCCTTTTATATATCGGCTTACAATGAAACAAAATAAAACAGAAAGGAACAATAACTTCTCTCTTTTACGAAAAACCAAGATCTGTTTATTCGGTCTCTTGCTTCTGTGGGTTTTTGCCTGACCGGGTTGTTTACGTCCGGATCAGCGCGTATTGTATCCAAGCAGATCTACGCGTATTACGGGTATTATCCCACAAGGGATAATACGCCGGGAAAGGGTCGTTCACCCAAAGGGACGCCATCGATCTCGGGATATACAGAACCAAAAGTTAGATCCGGTGTAAGAGTAGATCTGAGTTAAGACTTCTCCGAATCTGCTTTTTCG